CTGGTGCGAAAATGTAGAGAGTGAGAGAGGGCGGCGACAAGTTAGAGAGAGAAAGAGAGGATGTGAGAAATTAGGGATTAATGGCGGGGTGGGGTGTATATAATTTAATTTTTATAATAATATTATTAAATTTTAAATAAATATAAAAAACATGTATCTATATATAAAATATCTGATTTTTGAATATTAAAACTTAAAATCTGATTTTTGAACTTGAATCTTGAAAAGTAGAGATCCATGTAATTTCCACATTATTTATTTCTCTTTCATTTTAAAGTCTCGAAGAATTGTAGGAGAAGAACGGGAATAAAAGGGAAGCTATGATTTACGCAAAGGATCCATTCCAACTCTTCGAAACAATATTAGAAAATTTTACTCATTTAATAAATTTGATTTTTTTTTTTTTAATGAACAAAACATATCTATTTGCATTATGTTTCTGTTCTTTTTAATTACATATATGCAAAGTAATTGTTCAATGATTTCATGATTAGTGTTTTCAAATTTTTGGAGCGAAATATAATGATAAATGTTAAAGTGCATTTTTTTAAATTTTTTTATTATAATATTTTTGGTTAAAATGATTTGACATTTGAAATTTGGAATCGATTGGTTCAATCGAAGTGAATTGCGGAGTATATGTTGATGTGTTGCACTGAATTCAATTATCTCTTCATTTTGTGATTTGTTTTATGTTTTTAAAATTGAATTAAACAAAAAAAAATGAGAACGTAGTCTTTTCTTCGTTTTTAGTTTTTATTGAATTTGAGCTATAATTGTAATTTGATGTGGTGTACTTATTAAAAATATATTTTAATTGTGGTGTAATGAGTAAAAAATATAATTACCCTTATCAATTTAAGGAATTTATCATTTGCCTCACTTTAACAAAGGAAAAGTGTCACATATTGCAAAACATTTTAATTTATGACTTTATGGTTAGATGGAAATTTCCTCTTTCTTTGTGTTATTGACCATATCTTCCGACTATTACTAGAATGAAAATTAGATGTTGCACTAATTATAAATAGTAAAAAATTGACAATTCTTCATTCTCAAACTAGGATCCTCCAGGCTCGCCAAATGTCGTCGGTGCACTATCACCCTTTGACCTTGTGATCAAACTAACCTCACACCGTTGTGGGGACTGTGACAATTAGGAATGAGAGGTGGGTTTGGGAAAGGGTATAGGGAATACGAAGGGAGATAGGTAGCGATGAATTTAGAAGATAATGGATGGTACATTGATGCATAGGACAATATCTAATTTTCTAAAAAAATTAAAGTCGTAATCAAAGATACTTGTTCTCTTTCAATTAAAACACGATCTATGAAGATAGGATATTCACCTAGAACATCAAGTATATAAATGTTCACTTACAACACAAGCTCTAACCGACCTAGAACACCTAGGACATAATTGTTCAATTACAAGTAATTACCATA